TAGAGACGGGGTTTCACCATGTTGACCAGGATGGTCTCGATCTCTTGACCTCGTGATCCACCCGCCTCGGCCTCCCAAAGTGCTGGGATTACAGGCTTGAGCCACCGCGCCCGGCCTGTCTTCTGTTTTAAACGTTCTAAGTGTCTTTAACAACTTTAGAAAATGCTCAGGTGTTCCCAGCGTTGTTTTGTTTTGTTTGTTTTTTAATATTGCTGATTTGCTATGCTTTCATTTTTATTACATTTTAAATATTTCTTAAGTATATGCTGCAGAAAACTGTACATATTCAACTCGATGAATTTTTACAAAGCGAATACACCTAGGTAATCAGCACTGAGACTGAGATGGAGGAAGCCATTGCCAGCATTCCAGTTTTCTTGCACCCCTGCACAGTCACTTTCCTGCCAAGAGTGACCACTATTCTAGCATCATGGACTTCCTTTAATTTTGAATTTATCCAAATAGAATCACACCGTGTGTACTTTTTTCTGTCTGGCTTCTTTTTGTTAAGTTTTATGTTTGTGACATTCATATTGTCGCTTGTTATATATTATAGTTCCTCCATTCTTTCTGCTATTCAGTTGTGCGACTATAACAATTCCACTGTAATACACATTGGCACAGGTTTCAGTTTTCATTAATGCTTCTTCTATGAACATTTCGGTAGGTGCCTTTTGGGGTGGATAAATATGCATTTCTCTTGGATTTATACATCGGTGTGAAGTTGCTGGGCCTAGGGAGTAAATATACTGCTCTTGGTACATGTTGCTAAACAGTTTTTCACAGTAGTTGCACTGATGCATTCCCCCCATCAGTGTATGAGTTCCAGTTCCCTCACATCCTCCCTATGTGGTACTTACCATGTTTTCATTTTAGCTCGTCTAGTGGATGTACATTTTCCTGATGTCTAATAAAGTTGAGTACATTTTCTTATGTTTATTGGTCACTTACGTATTCTCTTTTGTGAAGCGTCTTCTCAAATTTTGCCCATTTTTTCTGTTGGGTATATTTTTGTGGTTGATTTCAGAAGATTTACAAATATATGTCCTAGAGACGACTCCTTTGTTGGAGATGTTTATTGTAATAAATATCTCTTTGCAGTCTGTGGGTTGCCTTAGTGGTAACTTTTGATGAACAGAAGCTCTTAATTTTAATATAGTCAATTTTACTAATTTTGTTTTATGGTTAGTGCTTTTTGTGGCCTGTTTAAAAAATCTTCTCCAATTCCAAAGCCATCAATATATACTTTATGTTTTTTTCTAAAATTGTTGTTGTTGTTGTTGTTGAGGTAGAGTCTCACTCTGTCACCCAAACTAGAGTGCAGTGGTGCAATGACAGATCACTGCAGTCTTGAACTCCCAGGATCAAGTGATGCTCTCACCTCAGCCTTCCAAGAAGTTCAGACTATAGGCACGCCCCACCACACCTGGCTATTTTTTTCCCTGTAGAGGTGAGGTTTCCCTATATTGCTCTGGCTGGTCTCCAACTTCTGGGCTCAAGCAATCCTCCCACCTTGGCTTCCCAAAGTTTGGAAATTCGAGGCATGAGCCACCATGCCCAACTAAAAGTTTTAGTATTTTGCCTTTCAACTTCATGTCTGCAACTATCTGGAACTGATTTTTAGATCTTGATTTTTTTTTCCATATGCATAACCAGTTGACCCAGCACTATTTATTGAAAAGATATCCGGCTGGGTGCGGTGGCTCAAGCCTGTAATCCCAGCACTTTGGGAGGCCGAGGCGGGTGGATCACGAGGTCAAGAGATCGAGACCATCCTGGTCAACAAGGTGAAACCTCGTCTCTACTAAAAATACAAAAATTAGCTGGGCATGATGGTGTGTGCCTGTAGTCCCAGCTACTCGGGAGGCTGAGGCAGGAGAATTGCCTGAACCCAGGAGGCGGAGGTTGTGGTGAGCTGAGATCGCGCCATGGCACTCCAGTCTGGGCAACAACAGCGAAACTCCGTTCAAAAAAAAAAAAAAAAGAAAAGAAAAAGAAAAGGTATCCTTTCTCCACTGGACTACTAAAATTATACCTTTGTCATTTGTCAAGTGATTATGTATGTATGACTCTATTTCTGTAGTCTCTATTTGATATGAATTGATCTAGCTGATCTGTTAATCAATTTTTCTGTCCTTATGCCAAAATCGTTGTACCTTAATAACAGTAACTTTATAATAGGTGTCCATGTTCAGTAATGTGAATTCTTTAACTTTGTTCTCCTTCTTTGAGATTACCTTGACTATTGGCCCTTTGCACTTCTATATGAATTTTAGAACCATTTTGACAATTTCCTTTTAAAATTACTAGATTTTTTTTAAAAATTAGGATTGTGTTGAATCTATAATGCTTTGGAGAGAATAGGCATCTTCTAATTTATGAATATGGTGTATCTATAACTCCGTATATTTTTTCAGTAATATTGTGCAGTTTTAAATCTAGAGGTCTTAAACATCTTTTGGTTGATTTATTCCTATGTTATCTCTTTGTATTTTATTGAAAGTAGCATCATTTAAAAGTTTTCATTTTCTGTTTGGTTGTTCTTGATTTATAGAAATCAAACTGACTCTTTTTAAGTTGGCCTGTATCCAGCAACCCTGATTTTAAAAAAATCACTCAATTCCGGTAGTCTATCTGTAGATTCTTTCTACTTTTTTTATATGCATGTTATCTGTGAATTATTTCAAATTATGCAGATTTGTTCGTGAGAGAGATTGGTCTGTAATTTTCCGTTCTTCCTTGTGGAGTTTTTATATCAAGGTTATGCTGACTTTACAAAAAACAGTGTTTAAAATTGGTGTCATTTCTTCCTTAAGTGTTTGGGGGACATCATTGGTGACGTCATCTGGGCCTTCATTTCCTTGTCTGACTTTTTATTTTATTTTACCTTCACTGTGGTGCTGATATGGGAATTTTTAATGACAGATTTTCTTTCAATACACAATAGACTATTTATATTTTCTACTTATGTCAGCTTTGGTGAGTTATGTTTATTGAGAAACTTGAACATTTTACCTAATTTTTACATTTATTATATTAAAGTTCATAATATTCTCTTATTTTCTTTTTCATATTTGTAGGATCTATAGGCGCACCTTTCTAATTCCTGCTATATTCTATATGGTTTTTTGTTGTTGTTACTGATTGGCCTTATTGGTGGTTTGTCAGTGTTATTTAATATGTAAGAGGAGCAGCTTTTGCTTTTATTGATTTTTCTCTCTTTTGTCCTTGCTTTCTGTTTCACTAATATCTTCCTTTATCTTTTTTTTATTGGGTTTGATTTGCTGTTCTGGCGTCTTGAGATGGAAGCTTGAACACTTAATTTTCAGCCTTTCTTTTCTATAGGAAAGCTATAAATTTTCTTTAGGCTGCTTTTCTTTAAGGGTATAGGTTTTTCTCTGTGTACTGCTTTCAGCACACCCACAAGTTTTAATGTCACATATCATCATTTTTCAATTCATAATGTATTCTAATTTCTATTTTGATTTCTTCTTTGATGCTGGGATATTTTCTTTTTTTTCCCGTTTATTTATTTATTTACTTTAGGCCCTGGGGTACATGTGCAGATCATGCAGGATTGCTGCATAGCAAGGTGGTTTGCTGCCTCTATCCCCCCATCACCTATATCTGGCATTTCTCCCCATGTTATTCCTCCCCAACCTCCCCGCTGCCTGCTGTTCCTCCCCTAGCCCCCCCCAACAGACCCCAGGGTGTGATGCTCCCCTCCCTGTTTCCATGTGTTCTCACTGCTCAACACATGTCTATGAGTGAGAACATGTGGTATTTGATTTTCTGTTCTTGTGTTAGTTTGCTGAGAACAATGGTTTCCAGGTTCATCCATGCATGTCCCTACAAAGAATACGAACTCATCATTTTTTACGGCTGCATAATATTCCATGATGTATATATGCCACGTTTTCCCTGTCTAGTCTATCATCAATGGGCATTTGGGTTGGCTCCAGGTCTTTGCTATTGTAAACTGTGCTGCAGTGAACATACGTGTGCATGTGTCTTTATAATAGAATGATTTATAATCTTTTGGGTATATACCCAGTAATGAGATTGCTGGGTCAAATGGAATTTCTATTTCTAGGTCCTTGAGGAATAGCCACACTGTCTTCCACAATGGCTGAACTAATTTACACTCTCACCAACAGTGTAAAAGTGTTGCTATTTCTCCACATCCTCTCCAGCATCTGTTGTCTCCAGATTTTTTAATGATCGCCATTCTAACTGGCTTGAGATGCTATCTCAATGTGGCTTTGACTTGCATTTCTCTAATGACCAGTGATGATGAGCATTTTTTCATGTGTTTGTTGGCCTTATATATGTCTTCTTTTAAAAAGTGTCTGTTCATATCCTTCACCCACTTTTGAATGGGTTTGTTTTTTTTCTTGTAACTCTGTTTCAGTTCTTTGTAGATTCTGGATATTACCCTTTGTCAGATGGGCAGATTGCAAAATTTTTTGCCCATTCTTTTGGTTGCCAGTTCGCTCTAATGATTGGTTTTCTGCTGTACAGAAGCTCTGGAGTTTAATTAGATCCCATTTGTCTATTTTGGCTTTTGTTGCCAATGCTTTTGGTGTTTTAGTCATGAAGTCGTTGCCTAGATGCATGGATATTTTCTATGTATACTGTTCAATTTCCAGGCAGCTGAGGAAATTGCATTTCTGGTGGCTTTTTGCTAATGACTTTTAGCTTAGTTCCATATGGTCTGTAATATATTCTGAATGATTTTCTTATTGAAAGTTTTTTTTTTTTTTTTTTTTTTTGAGACGGTGTTTCGCTCTT